TGTGGCTCAAGTGGTAGAGCGCTAGCCTTGAGCTGAAGAGCTGAGGGACAGCGCCCAGGCCCAGAGTTCAGGCCCCACGACCGGACCCCCACCCCACCCCCCAAAAAAAAAGAGTCTCAGTCTCATGGAAAGTTTCCTGCCTGGGGCTGGCTTTGAACCGTGATCCTCAGATCTCAGCCTCCTGAGTAGCTAGGATTACAGGCTTGGACCCCCGGTGCCTGGCTTTCTCCGTTATTTCTGAAGCCACTCCCCCCCCCCCACCCACAGGTGCATGTCCTGCGTTGGCAGTCCTTATCCCTGCCACTGGTGTAAGTATCGCCATGTGTGTACCAGCCACCCCCACGAGTGCTCCTTCCAGGAGGGCAGGGTCCACAGCCCTGAGGTGAGGCGGGTGCGGCGTGCTGCGTCAGGGGGGCTGGGCTCCACACTTTTCTGCATTTGAGCTCTTTAGTTTCTTTGGGCCTAGAGAAGGGAGGGGCTTCGTGTGCCTCTGACAGGCTCTCTGCCCCCACCCCCAGGGCTGCCCCGAGATCCTGCCTCGAGGAGACCTCTTGATTCCCGTGGGCGTCATGCAGCCTCTAACCCTGCGGGCTAAGAACCTGCCACAGCCTCAATCAGGCCAGAAGAACTATGAGTGCGTGGTTCGGGTACAGGGGCGGCAACAGCGGGTGCCCGCCGTGCGTTTTAACAGCAGCAGTGTGCAGTGTCAGAATGCCTCGGTGAGGTTCTGCCCTTTCAGCTCCAGGTTGGGACATGATGGGTGTTTTCTTCTTCTTCTTTTTGTCGGTCATGAGGCCTGAACTCTGAGGGCACTGTCCCTCAGCTCTTCAGCTCAAGGCTAGCACTCACCATTTGAGCCACAGCACCACTTCCAGCTTTTTTCTTTTTGCTTATGTGGTGCTCAGGAATTGAACCCAGGGCCTCAGGCATGCAAGGCAAGCGCTCTACCACTGAGCCACCTTCCCAGCCCTCCTCCTCTTCCTCCTCTTTCTCCTCTTCCTTCTGTCAGTCGTGGGATGCTTGAACTTGCTGTGTGGGCTGTCCCTGAGCTCTTTTGCTGAAGACTAGCACTTTACCAGTTGAGCCACAGCTCCACTTACAGTTTTCTGGTAGTTACTTGGAGATGAGTCTCATAGACTTTCCTGCCCAAGCTGGCTTTGGACAGTGATCCTCAGATCTCAGCCTCCTGAGTTGCTAGGCCTGAGCCACCAGTGCCTGGCTGTGTGGTTCTTATCTATACCCAGCTTGCTGGTCTTGAAGCCTCAGGTAGCCCTGGCAGTGAAAGCTGAATCTCTTGCTGGAGGTTTCTGAGCGAGGGAAGGGAGGTGGTTGGCAAGGTGGCAAGATTATGCTTTTCTTTTTTTTGTCCCTCGTGGGGCTTGAACTCTGGGCCTGGGCACTGTCCCTGAGCTCTTCAGCTCAAGGCAGTACTCTACCACTTGAGCCACAGCTCCACTTATAGTTTTCTGGTGGTTACTTAGAGATAAGATTCTCACAGACTTTCCTGCCCAGGCTTTTTTTTTTGGGTCCGGTTGTGGGCCTGAGCTCTGGGCCTGGGCGCTGTCCCTCAGCTCTTCGGCTCAAGGCTAGCCCTCTACCACTTGAGCCACAGCGCCACTTCCGGTTTTTTTCTTATGTGGTGCTGAGGAATCGAACCCAGGGCCTCATGCATGCAAGGCAAGCACTCCACCACTGAGCCACCTTCCCAGCCCCCCCAGACTGGCTTTGAACCATGATCCTTAGATCTCAGTCTCCTGAGTCATTAGGATTTCAGGCGTGAGCCACTGGTGCCCGGCTTCTGCTTCTCTTCTCTGTGCTCACGTGTTTGCTTCCATTTTCTCTAGTACTCCTATGAAGGCGATGCGCTTGGGGATACTGAGCTGGACTTTTCTGTCGTCTGGGATGGGGATTTCCCCATCGATAAGCCTCCGAGCTTCCGAGGTGAGGGGTGCTTGTCATGGGGTCAGGGGCTGTGCCTCCCAGGCAGGGTTAGCACGGTTGGGGGCAGGTCTGGGGGCCCTAATATTCACTGTCTCCCTGCCATTGCCTGCTCCATCAGTCATGGTCCCCTGTGCCCGCAGCCCTCTTATACAAGTGCTGGGCACAACGGCCCAGCTGTGGCCTCTGCCTCAAGGCGGATCCCCGCTTCAACTGCGGCTGGTGCATCTCAGAGCACAAGTGCCAGCTGCGGGCCCACTGCCCATCTCCCAAGACAAACTGGGTGCATACAAGCCAGAAAGGGGCCCGCTGTAGCCATCCCCGAATCACACAGGTGAGCCCCGCCCACCACCCCCGCCTGCCTGCTGCGCACCCATGGGTCTGAGACAACTCCCTCGCCATGCCCCCTCTCCTGCCTTGCAGATCCATCCCCTCGTGGGGCCCAAGGAGGGAGGCACCCGGGTCACCATCGTCGGGGAGAACCTGGGCCTTGCCTCCCGAGAGGTAGGCCTGCGAGTGGCTGGTGTGCGCTGCAACTCCATTCCTACCGAGTATGTCAGTGCTGAGAGGTGAGTATGGTCCTGTGGGGGGACACCCTGTCCCTTTCTGCCATGGCAGCCCTGACCTTCTGGGTCCCCCTAGGATTGTGTGTGAGATGGAGGAGTCACTGGTGCCTAGCCCACCGCCAGGGCCCGCCGAGCTGTGTGTAGGTGACTGTTCCGCTGACTTCCGTACCCAGTCTCAGCAGCTCTACAGCTTCGTGGTGCGTAGCCCTCCGGCGCCTTCCTCTCCCCCGTCCCCCTGTGGGGAATGCTGGGGTGGCCCTGCCCTGCCTCCCTTCAATGCTGCTTCTTCCCCAGACTCCGACATTTGACCGTGTGAGTCCTACTCGGGGCCCGGCTTCAGGAGGCACGAGGCTCACCATCTCTGGTAGCTCTCTGGATGCGGGCAGCCGGGTCACAGTGACCATGAGAGATGGAGAGTGCCAGTTTGTGAGGTGGGCCAGGGCTGAGATTGAGTAGGGTGGCATGGGGCCAGGGTGGGTAGAGGCCCCAGGCTGCCTACTTCAAGTTCTCTGCTTGCCCATGTAGAAGAGATGCGGAGGCGATTGTGTGCATCTCACCTGTCTCCACCCTGGGGCCCAGCCAGGTCCCCATCATGCTTACCATTGACCATGCCAACATCTCCAGCCCAGGAGTCATCTACACCTACACTCAGGACCCCACAGTCACGCACCTTGAGCCCACCTGGAGCATCATCAAGTAAGATCCTGGCCGCTGGGGATGTGGTACAGCAGTAGAGCTTTTACCTAGCATCTGTGAGGCTCTGGGTCCACAGCACAGCACAGCAAATAGAAAGACCTGGAGAAGCTGGGCACCAGTGGTTCACGCCTGTAATCCTAGCTGCTTAGGAGCCTGAGACTTGAGGCTCACCATGCAAACCAGCCTGTGCAGGAAAGTCTGGGAGACTTATTTCCAATTAGTCACCCAAAAAGGCAACAACTGGAGCTGTGGCTCAAGTGCTAGAGTGCTGACCATGAACAAAACAGCTCAGGGACAGTGCCCAGGTCTGCAGTTTGAACTGTAGGAATAGCGTGCACGCGTGCATGTGCACACACACATGCAAACATGGAGGAAACAAAGCTAGAGGCTGAGTAAGGTCCTTCAGCTTTGGTAACTAGGACTGTGGGTATCAAGTGATGCTTGAGTCCTTTGGGCCTGAACTCTCACTGGTAGAGAGGACAGAGCTGTCCTGGCCACACTGTACCAGGTACCCATCAGAGAAGCTCTGCACTATCATGACAGCCTTGCGAAGTCCATCCACACGGAGGTGGGAGTCTCAGGCCACTTACTCTTCTCTATAGCGGAAGCACTGCCATCACTGTGAGTGGGACTCACCTACTGACTGTGCAGGAGCCCCGGGTTCGGGCCAAATACCGAGGTATTGAGACCACCAATGTGAGTATCAGCTTCCCTTCCCCCACGGCACCCCCGCTTCCCATGGCTTCACATACTGGGATGTCCAACCTTGTCCCCACAGACGTGCCAGGTGATCAATGACACTGCAATGCTGTGCAAGGCTCCCGGCATCTTCCTTGGGCGGCCTCAGCCAAGGGCCCAAGGCGAACACCCTGATGAGTTTGGCTTCCTGCTGGACCACGTGCAGACGGCCCGCTCTCTCAACCGGTCGTCCTTTACTTACTACCCTGACCCCAGCTTTGAGCCACTTGGGCCCTCCGGTGTGCTGGATGTCAAGCCTGGCTCCCATGTAGTGCTGAAGGTGCCAATGGGGTGGGAGAGAGCACAGGGAGGCATGGAGTCTGCAAGGCAGACAACACCGGGCTGACTGTGTGTCCCCCATTTGCAGGGCAAGAACCTGATCCCTGCAGCAGCCGGCAGCTCCCGCCTTAACTACACAGTGCTGATCGGAGGTCAGCCATGCGCGCTCACAGTCTCAGACACACAACTCCTGTGCGACTCGCCCAGCCAGACAGGCCGGCAGCCTGTCATGGTGGGTGCGGGGAACGGGAGGCCACCAGGGCAGCCTGAGGTGGGGGGCGTGAGAATTGGCTAACCTTAGGATTGTCCTTGCAGGTGCTGGTGGGTGGCTTGGAGTTCTGGCTGGGCACCCTGCACATCACAGCAGAACGGGCACTGACCCTGCCAGCCATGGTGGGGCTGGCAGTAGGCGGGGGGCTCTTGCTGTTGGCCATCACTGCCGTGCTGGTTGCTTACAAGCGTAAGACTCAGGATGCCGACCGCACGCTCAAGCGGCTCCAGCTGCAGATGGACAACCTGGAGTCTCGTGTGGCCCTGGAGTGCAAAGAAGGTGACTAAGGCACGATGGTGCGGAGGGTGCTGGGCAGCAGGTGAGAGCCCTGGTCTCACTCCTCCTCCGCCTCACCCAGCTTTCGCAGAGCTGCAAACGGACATCAATGAGCTCACAAACCACATGGATGGGGTGCAGATCCCTTTCCTGGATTATCGGACATATGCTGTGCGCGTGCTCTTCCCTGGCATCGAGGCCCACCCTGTGCTCAAGGAGCTGGATGTGAGTCTTCCCCAGCCTGCCCACTCCCTGTTTCCCTCAGGACCACTCCCTCCTCGCCCTCCAAGATTCTCCCCTCATCCCCCTACTCTCCCACAGATTCCTCCCAATGTGGAAAAGGCCCTTCGCCTGTTTGGGCAGCTGCTACACAGCCGCGCCTTCGTGCTTACCTTCATCCACACACTGGAGGCTCAGAGCAGCTTCTCCATGCGTGACCGAGGCACCGTGGCTTCACTCACCATGGTGGCCCTGCAGAGCCGGCTTGACTATGCCACGGGGCTGCTCAAGCAGCTGCTGGCTGATCTCATAGAGAAAAACCTCGAGAGCAAGAACCACCCAAAGCTGCTATTGCGCAGGTACATGCTCCCTCTTGGCCTGTCCCTGGACAAGCCACACACCCCTGCCCACCCACACTCACAGCCCCATCCTTGCCAGGCCTCAGTGTCTCTTTCCTGCCCTAGGACAGAGTCAGTGGCAGAGAAGATGCTTACCAACTGGTTCACATTCCTTCTGCATAAATTTCTGAAGGTGTGCTTGGTGGGTGGGTGCCGGGGGCCTTGATGCTGGGGCACCGCTGGCTGTCAGACAGATAGCCAGCAGTGCCCCTGGTTCCGGCTACAGGAATGTGCTGGGGAGCCCCTCTTCCTGCTCTATTGCGCCATCAAGCAACAAATGGAGAAAGGCCCCATTGACGCCATCACAGGGGAGGCCCGCTACTCGCTGAGCGAGGACAAACTCATCCGGCAGCAGATCGACTATAAAACCCTGGTGAGCACAGGCCAGGTGGGCAGCAGCTGTGGGAGGTAGGCAGACGCCCTGCCTGGGACTGATGCTGGGGCTCTTCCCCCTGCCCCTAGACCCTGCACTGTGTGTGCCCAGAAAGTGAGGGAAGCACTCAGGTGCCAGTGAAGGTCCTCAACTGTGACAGCATCACCCAGGCCAAAGACAAGCTGCTGGACACCGTGTACAAAGGCATCCCATACTCCCAGCGCCCCAAGGCTGAGGACATGGACTTGGGTGAGGGCCCCCTCCCTCTCCCTCTGGCCCCCACCCAGTGCAAGGCTGCCCTCATGCACCCCCCACCCCCAAGCTGTGTTCCCTAAGAGAGGTGGGCCTGAAGTCTTGGGGGGATGCCCTTAAGGGCTGACTGTGGCCCACAGAATGGCGTCAGGGCCGCATGGCCCGCATCATCCTCCAGGATGAGGATGTCACTACCAAGATCGAGTGCGACTGGAAGAGGGTCAACTCACTGGCCCATTACCAGGTAAGCTCATTCACTCCCAGGGCCACATGAGAGCTGGGGCCCTGTCCTGAGCCCCAGCAGGACACTGGATCAGTGGTGTTGGCTCCTTCCAGCCAGTATGGAGTCCCTGACCTCACAAGCCCTCCTCACAGGACCTTGGGTGCCACCCATGCGCACACTGAAGGGGCTGGGAGGGTGGTGGTATCGTGGTCTCCTGCACATCCTCTTCTCTGTCTCTGGGACCTCCAGGTGACAGATGGTTCCATAGTGGCACTGGTGCCCAAACAAGTATCTGCCTATAACATGGCCAACTCCTTCACCTTCACCCGCTCCCTCAGCCGCTACGGTAGGTGTCCTCAGCATGGTGACCTCAGCTGCATGACCCATCCTACCTTGTGCATGGGGAGGTCTCCAGCTCTCCAGCATCTACAAGTAGGGTGGGTCAGAGAAGAAGGGTCCTGCACAGGCTGCTGGGTTCCTGGAAAAGACTGGACTGAGACGCCTGGCAGTGGCCAGCAACACCGCTGGCCTAAGAGACGTGCTTGTTCTGTGCCCCAGAGAGCTTGCTCCGCACTGCCAGCAGCCCTGATAGCCTCCGCTCACGGGCACCCATGATCACACCTGACCAGGAGACTGGCACCAAACTGTGGCACCTGGTGAAGAATCATGACCACGCTGATCACCGAGAAGGGGACCGGGGCAGCAAGATGGTCTCAGAGATCTATCTGACAAGGCTGTTGGCCACCAAGGTATGCACGTGCTCTGTGCTATCTTGGTCTCTGTGCCGAGGCCCAGCTCTGGCCCTGAAGGACCAGCCCAGGCCTTGCTAGCCAGGGGCTACATTCTCAGGGAAGTGTGGAGTCAACATGGAGGCTGGGTCCACTTTAGGGGTGCTGGCCCCGCTAGTTTCCTCATAGCTTGTGCCCTCACTGTCCCCTGCAGGGCACACTGCAGAAGTTTGTGGATGACCTCTTTGAAACTGTATTTAGCACAGCCCACCGGGGCTCAGCCCTGCCCCTGGCCATCAAGTACATGTTCGACTTCCTGGATGAGCAAGCTGACCAGCACCAGATCAGTGACCCTGATGTGCGCCATACCTGGAAAAGCAACTGGTACCACTCTGTGCCCAGCTTCTGCTGGTTCCTCTTGGGATGGGTGGAGAGAAGCAGCTGGTGGCTTTGCCTGTGGGGAGATTGGCAGGGACGGAAATAGTTATCCAGGCAGGAATGGACGGTGGCAGAGCCTGTTTCTGACTGAGAGTGCAGGGTGATGCTCCTGGATATTTGGACAGGTGGGAAGTGGACTTATTGAGAACAGAAGGGCCATTTGCTCAGCTCTTGCTGCCTGAACTTCAGCCCTGACACTAAATATATCTCTCTTGCCATCATCTTGGGATAACACATGACTAGCCAGGAGCAAGGTGTGAAGGAAGGCAGAGGTGGGAGGGGTGCACGGGGCCACCAGGGAGTCTTCAGTGTGTGTTCTTCTGCTCAGCCTGCCTCTGCGTTTCTGGGTGAATGTGATCAAGAACCCGCAGTTTGTGTTCGACATTCACAAGAACAGCATCACGGACGCCTGCCTGTCGGTGGTGGCCCAAACCTTCATGGACTCGTGCTCTACCTCTGAGCACCGCTTGGGCAAGGACTCACCTTCCAACAAGCTGCTCTATGCCAAGGACATCCCCAACTACAAGAGCTGGGTGGAGAGGTGGGCCCTGAGTGGAGACTGCTGTGCGTGACAGCAGGCATGAGCTGTCCCATCCTGGGAAGCCCTAGGCAAAAGCCCCAGCAGCTAGCTGGGCATGAGGGCAGGGGTTTGGACTTTCATGACATCTGCTGGATTGACTTACTCAGGGCCCTAACAGGTACTACCGAGACATCGCAAAGATGGCATCCATCAGTGACCAGGACATGGACGCCTACCTAGTGGAGCAGTCTCGCCTTCATGCCAGTGACTTCAACGTCCTAAGCGCACTCAGTGAACTCTACTTCTATGTCACCAAGTACCGCCAGGAGGTATGTCCATGCACCCAAAGGGCCTGACTTGCTTGAACCTGAGAGTATAAGCTAGGGGCAGAGGGTAGACATTGGTAGGATGCAGGGAGTTCCCACAAAGGCAGGAGACACAGAGCCAATCTCTTAGATTACATAGCTTCTGTGTGTGCCATGCGGCTAGCACGGGCAATGCTGTCTTCCTGTGCTGGGATTTGAGGGATATAGGAGGGAAACTACTCAATGGAGCACAGAGTTCTACTGAGCAAAAGGTAAGGGGGCAAACCAGGCACTGGTGGCTCACACCTGTAATCCTAGCTACTCAGGAGGCTGAGATCTGAGGATTGCGGCTCAAAGCCAGCCCGGGCAGGAAAGCCTGTGAGACTGTTATATCTCCAATTAGCCACCAAAAAGCTGGAAGTGGAGCTGTGACTCAAGTGATAGAGCAGCGGACTTGAGCACAAAAGCTCAGGGACAGCACCTATGCTCTGAGTTCAAGCCCCAAGACTGGCACACAAAAAACCTGGACTGGAGGTATGGCTCAAGTGGTAGAGTACTCACCTAACAAGTATGAGCTAAAAGCATTGTACTAGCCAAAAATCAAAGAGAGAGAGACAGACAGACAGACAGACAGACAGAGAGAAAGAGAAAGAGAAAGAAAGAGAAAGAGGGGCAAAGCCCTGGGGAAAATGGAGCAAAGCAGTAGATATAGGAGGCTGGAGTTTGGATGAAAGTCTGGGATGGATATACACCTTTTTCTTTCTTTCCTTCCATCTTTTTTCCTCCCTTTCTCCATTCCTCCTTCCCTCCCCACTTTTTTTTGCCAGTCCTGGGGCTTGAACTCAGGCCCTGGGCACTGTCACTGAGCTTCCTTTGCTCAAGGCTAACATTATACCACTTGAACCAAGTGCCTCTACCGGTTTTTTCCCTTTATGTGGTACTGAGGAATCAAACCCAGGACTTCATGCATGCTAGGCAACCACTCTATCACTAAGCCACATTCCCAGCCCTCCCTCTCTTTCTTTCTTTTTTTTTTGGGTCCGGTCGTGGGGCCTGAACTCTGGGTCTGGG